GGGTCAGAGGTGTGGTGGATGGTATAATTTCCCTTTAAGAAACAGCGTTCCTACTCTGTCACTTGGCTGAGCAGGTACCAGGTGCTCATCTCTTTGGGTTACACTGCCTGGCCAAAAAAAAAAAGTCACCACCTGGATTTAACTAAACAAACAGGTACGAGCCTCCTGTTGGATAATTACTGCATGTGTGATTATCTTTCAGCTGCAACAAGTTATTTAACCCCAACTGGTGCAATGAGTTGCTTCTCATTTCTTTAACATCCATGTTGAAAGACACATCGCGTGGTCGTGGAAAAGATGTCAGTCTGTTTGAGAAGGGTCAAATCATTGGCATCAAGCAGAGAAAACATCTGAGGAGATTGTAGAAACTACTAAAATTGGTTTAAGAACTTTAAGAACTGTCCAACGCATTATCAAAAACTGGAAGGATAGTGGAGACATATCGTCTCCGAGAAAGAAATGTGGCCGGAAACAAATCCTGAATGATTGTAATCAGCTATCACTAGGGGGAGTGGTGGCACAGAGGTTAGAGAAGGTGGGCCTGTGATCGGAAGCTCGCCGGCTCACGCCCTGGTACCGACAACATCAAAAAATGTGGGTGGGGTAGGTGAAGCACCCACACTTGCCCCCACCCTCATTCGCCCCACTCTGAGCTCATGAGCAAGGTCCTTAAACCCCATCTGCTCCCTTAACAGGCCTCTCTTGAAAATGAGTTCTCGTGGCTCAATGAGACTACCAAATAAAGGGTAAATAAAAAAAAAAAAACTTAAACGTTTGGTGAAATCAAATGGAAGAAAAACAACAGTAGCACTCAGGTCTATGTTTAATAAAGAAAGTAAGATCATTTCCACAAAACACAATGTGAAGGAACTCAAGGGATTGGGACTGAACAGCTGTGTAGCCTTAAGAAAACCACTAACCAGTGAGGCTAACTGGAAAAAAAAGGCTTCAATTTACTAGGGAGCATAAAGATTGGACTCTGGAGCAATGGAAGAAGGTCATGTGGTCTGATGAGTCCAGACTGACCCTGTTCCAGAGTGATGGGTGCATCAGGGTAAGAAGAGAGGCAGGTGAAGTAATGCACCCATCATGCCTGGTGTCTAGTCATCAATGCAAGATCTTGGTGAAAAATTAATGCAACACTGGATGGAAATAGATCTTGTAACATTGAAGAAGTTTATAGAAACAATGACACAGTGAATGCATGCTGTAATCAAAGCTAAAGGAGGTCCAATGAAATATTAGCATGACCTTTTTTTTTTTGGTGGGGACTTTTTTTTGGCCAGGCAGTGTATAACAGACACCTTGTTGAGCAGGTTGGCTCGCTGCAGCGGTACGTCAGAGCAGCCGCCATTTTAAATATGGTGGAAGTGCCGGTTATTTAATGCAAAGAAATAGTCAGAACTTCATAAAGCACCGTTCTACAAAGTGTTTCAAGTTGATACCTGTCTTTCACAACCATTAATATATATGGAAATCAAACAGGCACCAAAGACAACATTTGTAACTTAAAAGTTATAAATTTGGTGCCTGTTTGATTTCCAAATATATTAATGGTTGTGAATGACAGGCATCAACTTAAAACACTTTGTAGAACGGTGCTTTATGAAGTTCTGACTATTTCTTTGCATTAAATGACCGGCAGCCCGGCCACATTTAAAATGGCGGTGATGTCGACATACGATTCAGCACCTAATGGGTTGTCTACCTGTGGTTTTGTGGACAAGGTGGGGGGAGGAGGGGGAGACACCTCTGTGTTGCGTGTTAACTTACTTAGTGATGGAAGTTGTTGACCAGTGGTGGTGGTGGTGGGGTGGGGGGGTTAGGATGTGTGAGAGAAATGGAGTGCGTATATCATCTAGGCATGTCTGTATTGTGCGCGGTGAAATTTAGCATTAAAATTTGAAAAGTCCTTCTGATGGTGAAGTAGAGAATACCTTGAAGGAGAAAGATGGTGTTAACCCAAGTAACACAAGTTTAATGTAAAGTAAAATAGTTACAATCAGTGATGGGGAAGAAGCAGTGGAAAGAAAATCAATGGGAGAAGAGATGGATGTTGGGTGGATTGTGAAGGAAAGGGCAATAAAAGTTATGAAGTGTAGAAACTGTGGCAGCAAAGTAAGAAGGAATGTGTAAATTGTTGTTTTAATTGCATGCAGGTTGACAAAACTGACTAAAAATGTTTTTTTTTTATTTTTCTATTTTGTCATTATTCCATGGCACAGTGTAATTTAGTGTTGTGAAGTCTGCAGGATGCCAGGTCATTTTCTGTTATGAGTCTATCACCAAATCAGTAAACAGTAAAATGCCCCCGCCCCCCAAATTCACTTTTGGTGGTTATTAAAATGCCACCTGTTCATTGGGTAAAGTTAATATTCTTATTTTTAAACATGCAATTGTGTCAGCATTGCTTATCACAATGACATGTTGTGTTACAAATAAAACTAAATAAAAATTAACGAAATAAAAGTCAAGTGCACCCCTAAAGTCCATCCATCCATTGTCTTTACCCGCTTCTTCCATTTTGGGTGACGGGGGTCGCTGGTGCCCATGTCCAGCAATCACTGTGCGAGGGGAGGGGGACACCCTGGACGGGTCGCAAGTCCATCACAGGGACACATAGAGACAAACGAGACAAACAACCATTCACTCTCTCACTCACACCTAGGGACAATTTAGAGTTACCAATCAGCCTAACATGCAGGTTTTTGGACTGTGGGAGGAAACCGGAGTACCCGGAGAAAACCCACGCATGCACGGAGAGAACATGCAAACTCCACCCAGAAAGGCCCCTGGACCGGGGTTTGAACCAGGGACCTGCAGCC